CATCCCATCGGTTTGTAATTGGGGGTTAAATTGATAAGGACAGCCAGGCCTCAGTCAATCCCCGACCTTTTGTTCAGCGCTTAAAGGAGGCGTGTCACTGGGGACAAGCTTTCACAAAGGCTGACACACGGGCCAATCACTGAGATATGTTCTAAACCCTTATTTTATGCATTGCATTTTATAGAATGTTTTGTTTCTGTTTTTGAAATGAACCATAACGTTATATCATGATCAAATTTATGCATATTTTGATTTAGTCTAAAATGTGCACATATAGTAGTTATTTGGTTTAGGATCAGAAACCAGCAGTTTTAAACAACAGGACAGTTTCTGTTTCTGACCTCAACCTCATTTAAAATGTTGCCCTAAAACCCTATAATAAAAGGTGTGTGTGCGTGTGCGCGCGTGCGTCATGGGTCACAGCGGGACCGTGTGTCCAGTTGGGTTCAGTCTGAGCTTTCCGCAGCTGACAGACAACAAAACCTCAGCTTCAAACCAGGAAACAATCAGAGAAAAGACGCAGAGACGAGTCACCAAACGTGCAAGACTGTTTTACCGCAATTATTGCTGATTTTAAAATTGAGATCTTAAAAATAAACGAACAAAAAACGGTGACTTGTTTATGGGGTCAGTGTACAAACTGAACGAGTGCATTTTGTCTCTCAAAATAGTTTTTTGTTATTATTTATGTCTTGAAGCTCCGAGGTTTTATATTCCTCAACCAAAGTTAGAGAAATAATCCAGCAAAGACGCTCAATTAAGGAAAATTAAAAAAAAAGTCTTCATTATTTTTCTCACATAGTGACTTTAAGATTTTCCCCGTTAGAGGTGTGTGTGTGTGTGTTTCCCTCCCTGGTGTATCCGTGCTGTGCCGTGCCATGCCACGCTAAGAAAAGCCATGAGAACGGCCGCAGAAATCCCAGGTGCTGCGGCTCTGTTTAAGCTGCTCAGCCCCTCTGTCCACTCGTTGTGCACAAGGCGAGAGATCACAGCCAGCACCCTGCCTCCCCACGCACGCACGCACGCACGCACGCACACACAAACACCCCATTTGTGCTGTGCGTGCAAAGTGCCGCGCGTGCAACCAGTGCGCGCGAGCGTACTGGTTCACGTTCGCTTGAGTAAGCGAGATTTGGGTTGCTTTCATGTTCTGCTTGTTTTAAAAAGATGAGGCTTGTGCATTGGCAGTCCACACTAATAAGCTTTAGGCTGCAGTAAGTCTTGACACACACACACACACACACACACACACACACACACACACACACACACACACACACACACACACACACACACA